AAATATCTTCATGGAACATGATCTTTACTTAATATTTTTGGCATAAAAGAAAAATCAATCATTTTGACCCATACAATGTATTTTTGGTTATTGCTACAAATATACCCCAGCGACTTAAGACTGGTTTTGTGGTCCAGGGTCACATATAAGAATACGAAGTCTCCTATGCTCATGAAGGCTGCATTTATTTGATCAAAAATTCAGATCTGATCATCTGATTTCATTTCTGTTGATTTGATGCTCAAGAAAATTTTCTCATATTGTTAATGAAAACAGCTGTGCTGTATTTTTTGGAGAACCCATGATTTATTTATTTAATTATATTTTAACAATAACAAAAGTTCAAAAATAACAATAACAAAAATATTGTTACATAATAATTTCTTTACTTCACTTTTGATCAATTTAATGCATCCTTGCTGAATTAAAAGTATTAATGTCTTGACAGACTGAGACCATACTTTTGACAGAAGTGTACATAAAATCAAATAAAAAATCTAATAAAATCAAGCACTTTGTAATAAAAATACAATACATTAATAATCAAAAAAAGAAAGAAAGAAAAGAAAAGAAAAGAAATGCTCACCATATGTTTGGTTTTGTCTTTCAGGATAATCCAGTCCTCTCCGTTTGAGCTCACACTGATCTTGTATGTTTTGACGTAGTATGCTTTCTTCGTTTCCTTTGAAATGGCTCCTTGTGTTCCTATGGCCGTCACATACCGCAGGAAACCCAAGTCCACCTGCGAGAGACAGACAGAGATCGTAAGAGAGGGCTGTTACTCTCTGGTGAGTGTTTTTGTGTGTGCGGTAATGTGTTGTTTTGGAATCTTCACTGTCTGTTGGGGCAATTGTCATGTAACTGCTAGTTAATCACCCTCAGATGCACTGCACTGATTCACTGTCAGATCGTTAGTATGATCTATGATGTCTTCACTGCATAGCAGCAGTGCAGTGCAGTGTCTTGTCAGGGGGGCTAAAAGCTTAACATGATTTACCAAAGTAGGACATGTTCCTGGATCAATGTCCTTGTTCCTCATGGAACAACATTGCTAAAATCCCAACCGACCAGGACTTTAGGCTCAAGACTGGGATTCCCTCTGCTTTTGGAGGGTATTTTAGGGTTAAAGCTATGACAGAGTGATAGAAATGTTGTTCTAGTACAAACAATTTTGAATTTTGATCCAGGAACATGTGCTACTTGGGAAAAACATGTTGAGTCAGAATCCACACATGCACACTAAGCAAAACACAGCACAAGCTATGTGAATATGGTTTAATTACAGCCAATAAACTGCTGGAAGAAAAACATGAACCAATAATAAAAAATGAGGTTCCCACTGTAAAACTATCACTTCAGCTCTACAACTTGAACAAATTAACACAGTTATCAAATGTATATAATTTGACCAGACTTGGCAGCCACTTGTTCATATTAACTCCTTCATTACTTAATCTCATTTTATTTTAGTACAAAAAGTTTAGGTCAGGTAATACTAGCCACTGTATGACCAAAGAGGTATTTATAATCTCATTCCATGTGTGTGAAACCTAACCTTCGTCCCTTATGTCTATATTGACACAAACAAAGTCCTCTGTCATAATCTGAATCACTTACAACAATAACTGGCCAATAGGGATATGCCGGTATCAAATTTTCATGTTGCGATTAATTGCTAATGCTTTTATCACGGTGTTCGGTATTATCACGATGTTGAAATTTAGTTTAAAAAAGTGCTGCGCTTGTTTACATCAGAGTGCGCACGAGTCTTTCATGCAGCATACAGCGGTGTTGTGCATTTTGACCAGTTGATGGGAAAAGTATTCTTAAAATGCATTCAAAATTCGGAATAATTTGTAATATATAATTATTCACTGTATTTAGAAGTGCCCAGGATAACAATATCGTGCATATTCATTACCGTGATATATGGCATTACCGAATACCGGCACAAGTCTACTGGCCAATGAAGCTAAACACACCAATTTTCAAAGCATCATCTATCATGGTCTTATATTGTTTCAGGTTCCGAGAATCTCCATTTCCTTCCCTCCTCAAGTATTACAAGAAGTCTGATCTAAGGGTTTGGAGACCTCCCAATAACCTTACAATGGCCACATAACACGAAAACGTGGTCAAAGATCCAGGTCAGAATGACAAATCATGTTGTCGTGGAGAAATTCCTGCATGAAATCTAGCATGTCAGTTATTGTCTGTCTCTCGAGTGTGTGCGTGACTCTTGAGATAAATTAAACTCAAATGACGCAACAGAAGTGTGCATAAATAGCCTATTGAGAGAGTTTGGCTCAATACAAGCATTCCTGGCACAAAAGTTCCCATCGCTCTCCCACTGCTTTCCACCCAAGTCTCAGTGAGCAGATGCACCGAAACCGCACTGCTGCCATCCCTTTCTCTCTCTTTCTCTTTCCCTCTCTCTGAACTGGAAGGTATTATGAGGCTAATTGCTTTTCAATATTGTGTTGTATCAGAAGCGGCCGAGCTGCCAACTGGAGCCAGCCACCGCTAACAAGATCAACAAGTGTTAACAACCTTTAACGAGGGAACAATGGCAGGACAGAAGCAGAGCCCCTCAAATGCCAGTATCTAAAGACAAACATGGACACTTTTTAGAAAACAGGATATTGGTGGGTGTGAGAGAAAGAAATAGAGAATTTAAACAGGAAAGGGAAGAGGCATAAGGAAAGAGGAAGATGCTACTCTACTGACCCTCATGCCGCTTTGCTTTCTTGGGATAATTTCCAGGCTGAGGCCAAAAGACAAGACATAGTGTGATTCAAAAGTGCCCCGGGACAAGGATCACTTGTTCAAAGGCAGGAATATGAAGAATTTGGACAGGGAAGACAGATAGTTTGAGAGAGGAAAGAAGGAGGCCATCTAAGTGAAAATGGAGCAGCCATCTCTGAAAAACGCTTTGACATTGCCTGCCAGATTGTTTGCCTCAATACACACATTCGTTGTGCTTCTCACCAATAGGGCGATGACTCCAACAACAATTTACCATTCTTAAGAGACCCGGCAGAGTGGTAAGGTTAAAGTGTAGTTTACCAAAACATAACAGTTCAGCCTTTTCATTCCAGTGTTAACTGTTTTTTCAGTTAAATGCCAAATAAAAACAATGTCTATGTTTCCTTTCCTTACAATTAAAGTGTACTAAAATGTACCATAAATGTACTATAAAATGTACTACAAATGTAGTTTATATTCATTATATGTGCTATTTATCAGTAAGATTGTATGAAAATCTATACTTTGATTCAACATTAAATTGATCAAAAATGACAGTAATTTGTAATGCTACAAAAGATATTGATTTTAAATAAATGCTGTTCTTTGGAACTTTCTATTCATTAAGGAATCCTGAATAAATGTAAACGTTAATAAATGTTTCCACAAGAATGTTATGCAGCACTGCTTTCAATATTGAAATTGAAAATAATAAGAAATGTTTCTTAAGCACCAAACCAGCATATAAGAATGATTTCTGAAGGATCATGTGACACTGAAGACTGGAGTAATGATGCTGAAAATTCAGCTTTGCATCACAGTAATAAATTATATTTTAAAACAAGTTATTTTAAATTGTAACAATATTTCACAATATTACTATTTTTACTGCATTTTTGATCTTGAAAAATCTTACTGACCTCAAACTTTTGAAGTGTATATGTATACAAAGTTATGTGTTGCTATGAAGTAAACAATGGGTAGAAATTTTCACCATTGTACTGGTGATGAAGCCACCTGGCTGAGCAGCAAAAAACACATCCAGATTAAATTCCGCATAAAAAATTATATCTTTAACATCTTTCTATTTGCATATCAGATTTTAAGGAGTTAAGTTTCTTATTACTTAATTATATTGTTAAATATCATGCCCCAATATCCTTAATGGTTAAAATATTACTCTCATTCTCAGAGGAAAGCAGTGACCTTTCACTAGTTCACTAGTTCAACTCACTCCTGCTGCTAAAAAGAAATCTGTGCTAGAACCTCATGATCAGATTTGGAGGAATGACCTCTTTCTCTCTCTCTGTCTGTGTCAGAATGAAATGTGTTGTCCAGATGTGCATCTGTTTTCCCAGTAACGTCAGAAACGCTGGCCTACTGTCAGCGCAAGCACTGTCTACGGTTGCTCCATAAATGTCCTCTTTCAGAGAGGAAACCCTTCCTGCGTGTACTGCTGTGAGAATGACAACATGCCAATCAAATTCCTTGTAGAAACAAAGAGCCATGAAAACCCTTTCCTTTTGTGTATGCATGAGTGTGTCTGACAAGTGGTATTGCAGATTTTACTTTCATCACATAAATGTCTACAGATTAGATAATAAATCAAAGATACAGTATATGATATTAAATACAAAAGAACAATTTGTAAATATAAATTCATACATTTTTATTATTTATACCAGGTCAGAAATAAAATATTAGGCTACTAATAATTATTATTCAGCAAGGACGCACTAAATGGATCAAAAGTTACAATAAAGACGTTTCTATTTCAAATAAGTGCGGTTCTTTTGAACTTTCAGCAAAGAAATCTAAAAAAAAAATGCATCACAGTTTCCACAAAAATACTGTTTTCAACATTGATAAGGATAGGAAATGGATCATGTGACACTGAAGACTGGAGTAATGATGCTGAAAATTCAGCTTTGCATCAAGAAAATGAAAATTACCAGTGCCAAACTTCTGAACAGTAGTGTATATATATATATTCAGTTTTTATTTAATAATACATTTTGATTAACATTTAATACTGACTTTGATTTAATTTCCAATTTGTAAATGTAGTGGACATGGAGGTTCGAGTGTGCTGCGATGTTCTATCCCATCTCTCTGTCTGTCTTTTAATTTCATGATACTGTGTACTGTCCAATACAAAGCCCAAAATAAACAGCAAGGGTGTACTATCATTTTTAGGTGCACTATCCCTTTAAATGTGAAGTAAATTCTTTAAGGCCAAACACAAGCACCTACTCATGACTGTCAAGCACTGTTTTCCCCCTTATATAACTTCAGTTATTTTTTAATATTTTGTCTATGTACACATCCGAGTATGTATGTGTGACTTCAAAAGCGGAACGCTCATGTCTTGTCTGTTAAGATGAAACAGTGTTTCCCTATAAAATTAGAGAATGTGTGTGTGTGTGTGTGTGTGTGTGTGTTTGCATGTACCTGTATCCACTCCCGAACAGAATCATCTGATGGCGTCCAGCCGTTTTCAGGGAAGTTCAGCCTGGAGCGCAGTGGAGACCAGCTGGGATTATACTGTGATGATGCAGTTATCCTGTCTTCTGTGATCTCACCACTTTCCATCCCTAAAGGAGACATACACTCACCTACACACACACACACACACATACAAATATATTGTGAGTAGTGTCATGTTTTTGAAGTAATAAACAGCACACATGGCGCTTTCATAAAATTTGAATTTACCTTTGAGGACATTTGAAGTGGCCTCCACTATTTGACAGACTCATAAATCATGCTTTTGATGAATCTGATACTGTCAGAAGGTTTGGGTTTAGTAAATATCATTTCTTTGGTAAATATCAGTGTCTGTCTATGTGAGTGTGCATGTGTGAGAAACAAAGAGTCAGATCTGCTCTCTTCTCACCACAGGAAGTTAATATTAGTCTTTCATGTTTTGCCACAGATGTAGTGACCCGTGTGACCCTTGTGCCCTGTGTGGCAGGGCGATGAAGATGAATTATAAACGGACAGCCTCACTGCACTTTATTACACTGAACTGAAAGTACACACACACAGCTTTGTGAAGGGAATTCGAGCTGGGTTCAGGTCTCAAAGGATCATGGGTGTTACTTCAGTGCCATCAAGCACATTATTGGCACATTATTGCTAACAGTCTCAGTTAGTGTGTGATTCTCTGAAAACTTGATAGATGGGTTTAATAAAAGCCCCAGACTGAGTGAGCTGAGAGCACAGAAATATCAACAGCAGTTCTCTTTTCATTCTCATCTTCACATATATAAATCAAGTAACATGCACTTCAATTTCAGGAAAGCTGTTGTCGAAAATTCGAAAAACCTTGTCACTTGATTTTTTTATTTATTACACAATTCTATCCTACCATGAAAAATTAAATGCTAAAAAATTTCATGTTATCACAATATGGCAACATAATAAACACAATTTAACTGTAATGTAAACTCCTGGCTACATTTCCCACAGTTTTTTGAAGTGAGCTAAAGATGATTTTCCTTTTAATTGACATCTTGCACTGCCAGACTGGAGGAAGACCAGATGCTTGACGAACCAGCTGTGGAGTCTAAAGATGAAGATAAATCTGGTCTGCGTTTCCCAAAAGCATTGTAAGTGTAAATAGATTGTAGAAACCACTGCCACCAATTTTCTCTGGGATCAATTTAGGCTTATAATGCTTTTGGGAAACGCAGCCCTGGGCGTTATATTTGACAACTGATTGTAGAAAACCTTTTCTTATTGACTGAGAAAACTGAAAGAATGACTATTTTGATATGTACTTGATGCAAATTAGGATTTATTCATCAAATCAACAGATAAGAAAATGTGATGCAGAAGATTAGTAAAAACAACTGAAAAACTAGTATGTGATTCTTCAAATAACATATGCACGTTAAATGAATTTTTGATGAAACATTAAACAAGTAAAGTCAACAGGAAAATTAGAAATGATTGAATACAGTGAATTGATTGATTCAATCTTGGACAGTGAACAATGAGATCTATAGTTCATGTCCAAGATTTTTTAGCTCCAATTTCAGCTTAGTTTTCTCGAATTCCAGTTTTTGTATTTCTAATTGCAGTTTGACTTTTTCCAGTGTCAATACTTCATACTGTTTTTCCAAAACATGGTTCATGGTTAACTTGCTTGGAGGGTCTTTCTTTGTCTCAGATTCCGAGCCACTTCTTTCAGAAGTCACCTGGATACTGGAGGAACCTTTAACGAGGAAGTTAGCAACATTAGTGGGGGATAGGAACAGTTATCAAGTTCAAGTTAGCAGTATGCTAGTTAACTAACTTGGTGAGTTACAACTGGTTTTAAGTTTGTAAGCATGAGTTTTACCTTCACTTTCCTGTGCTGCTTGGTTCTGGCACATCTTATTCTTGAGTGACTAAAATAAACAAAAGAGAGAAGAATGTTACTTAGCTATCAGTTAAATGATAAAAAAAACCACTGAATAGTATTACAAAGTAGGCAAAACAAAACAAGCAAACAAATATATCACTTTCTGAGCTACCAAACACTAGCAAAAACGTTGCTACTCACGAGAATGTCCAAGCGGAGCTGACGTGACGGATTTTGAGGCAATGTATCTTCTGTAGCTGCTGGTAACATCCTGTCCGTAACTCCGGAGATTCGCCACCATATATATTTCAATAATCATTTACATTGTCCTCTTCAATTTAGGTTGGTCCTCCTTCATTTGCTATATTTTTACATCTCGTTATTGTGTAACGTTATTGTGGTCCTTGTGTTTTTTCTTATTTGCATTACAATCACTACATTTGTTCATTAAAATCAAATATTAAAATTGTATGCAGGATATTTTAGAATTTGTATATAATATGCAAATGTTTAGTAAAGAGAAACTGTGATGAACGTTTGTTTTCGGGCATTTTATTATGTGGAAAATAATGTGTTTTTTGAACTTTAAACCGCATAAACACATTTCATTACACCAAATACACAAAATAATGTTCTTTTTAGCAGCATCATATGACCCCTTTAAGTCTCTTACTTTTTCCACAATGCAATACGAATTCAATACGAATCTTTCTTACTAAAGACAACCATGAGCTTATTTTACAAAACAGGCTTTTCCCAGAGACTAAGATGCAGTCCCAGAACTCAAAGCTCCTTATCATGGTCTAAAAAGACCATTGAAACTAAGCTGCAAAAACATCTCTTTCACTCTTGTGACATCACAGTCATCAAGCCTGCATCTACTGTCTAATATTGGACTCGAGCTAATTCACAATGCATACGCTTTGTTATTTCACTTGCGAATACTGTTAAGTCACAACAGAGGTCACTTATATAGAGAAGCCTTAAAAGCACAGTATCAAAAGCAGCGTTATTAAGAGAGAGGTGGGAAAAATAGTCTAAGACAAGACAGACAAACATAAGACATTGACAAATTATGAAATATATGTACAAAATGGATACTTTTAAGTAGTCTCACACTAACCTTGGTGCGGCTGAGGTGGGTCTGAGCTGGTTCGGATGCTGTAATTGGCTGAAAAGCCTTCCTTGGTGATAGCATTGTCTGTGTGGATGCTGAGAGAGAGAATGCCGGTGTATGAGATCACACGACCTGGCTGTCTGGAACCACAGTATCGACCAATATGAGGCCCCACTGAGAGAGAGAGATGAGTTTGAGCAATTTAGTGCACAATTCAATCACAAATTCAACCTTTCATCATGCAGAACATTTCTAATAACCAAAAGAGCCATAATGTTTGTGATTTGTGTGTGTGTCTTTGGTTGTTCTGTTCATCTAACAAGCATTTCCTCTGGTTCTAAGACTTTACAAACTTCCTGCTTCTCTCAGCATGAAGTCTGAAAGTCAGCACTGTTTTTACCCTCAAATTCCTCTGTTTTTTGTCTATACCTGTAGGATATCCGTCCCATATCTCCAGATAGTCAAATCTGCAGACGGCCCCCACAGGTGCGGTTGTGTCCGGTTCCATATCGAAGCTCTGGAAGTCCAAAACTATCTCTGCCATCTTGGGTGCAAAGATGATGAAGGTGCACTCCAGGTTGTTTGGATACTTATCAGGGAAACCAGGGGTTTGAATCACTCCGTTCGGCTCGGTGAAGTTTCTGGAACATTCAGTACCTGCACAGAATGTAAACCAACAAGTTGCATAATGTTAATGCAAAATATATGTCAAAGAATATAGTAACCTGCATACACAAATAGCATTTTAAAACATTAAAAGAGAATTAATAGTTTGATTAAAAGACCTTCATTTTGTGTTAGTGTGTGTGCATGTGCAATGTAAGATCTTTGACTGTGTGTGTCTGTTTTCTGATACCTGTGCGGTGTATTTCATAGCGGATGCTGAATCCGGCTCCAGCGCTTTCATAGTCGGAGGTGAATTTGATGAGTAAGGAGTTTCCATTAGAGATAATCGGAGACGGAGCAATTTTGCCGCAGAACCTCCCATGAGAGAAAGTGTTCTCATCCACACCATCAAACACCTGTACAAAATCATACCTACACACAAACACACACATTATTGAAATTATTGTGTTAATGTGTTCTGTAATACATTTAACAGTGAGTTACCAGTGTTCAGTTCAGTACAGTTGTGGATAATAATATAATATAATAAACTCAGAAAATGCTTGTAAATTTCACAAGAAATAAAAAAAAAAACAGCAAGTAACATACTGAATTAAATGGGAAATTTTGAAATAGAAAGACTGAAACAGTATTTTCTAGTAAGATGTACTCTAAGAATCTGTTTTATTTACTTAGAAACATGTATTTTTTACAGTGTTACACACAATGTCTTATAATGAAATGTATACTCAGTTGAATGTTCTTATTAATCATTGTAGTCCACTGTTATAATGTACTATATATATATATATACTGTATATACACACACACACACACACACACACACATAATTATCTATGTTTATGCATTCAAAGACTTTAATGCATTTTTATGTCATTATTTATATAGTTTCTACTTTTTTCTTGATGTGACCATGAACACATATTATAATGTATTATGAATACCTTTGAAATGCCTTTACGATACATTATATACACACATGCTGCATAGAAAGTATAACTGGAAACTGAAACATCTTCCCCCGGTTTCATCCTAGAGTAACTTCTGCATGACTCATTTAGATTAATTTTGAAGACTCCTACAGCATCAGCCTGTAACCCAAGACTCTGATGGTCAGTGTGATCTCTGACCTCTCACCACGACGCGACCCTCTGTGGGAGCCGAAGCGTGCTTCCTGCCATTCAGACCGATCGCTCACAACCTGGATTTGAGTTAAACTGATGATCTGGGTAACTTAATGAATCATAAACTACATAACAGGAACCCTGGTAGAGGAAGGTGTCCCAACTTGTCAAATAAATGTATATTCTTCTAATCTTAAAAGGATAGTTCAGCCCAAAATTAAAATCCTATTTTCTTTTACTCACCCTCAAGCTGTTCCAAATCTGTATGAGTTTCTTTCTTCTGTTGAATTTTAGCAACCAATCAGTTGCTGGTAGCCACTGACTTCCATAGTTTTTTTTTTTTTTTTTTGTCCATACTATCAAAAGTCAATGGCTACCGTCAACTGTTTGGTTACCAACATTCTTCAAAATATTTTCTTCTGTGTTCAAAAGAATAAAAATTCTCATACAGGTTTGGAACATCTTGAGGGTGAGTAAATTATAATAACATTTACATTTTTTGGGTGAACTATCCCTTTAAGAGGAAATCTGTAAAATACTTAAGAAACATGTAAATTCAGTAGTTTATTTATTTAAATTTTATTAACATTATTTAATATCGAAAATGTTATTCGATTTAATACATTTAATTAAATATTGATTTTTTTTGTAGTAAAACAAAGAGGTCAGTAATTTTCTCCTTGTTTCTAATGAACTGAATGAGAGTTCAGTGCTGCAGTGTTTTATCTGATAAGCGCGAGAGAAAAACAGTGATTACAACAGACTCGCCCACTTTCTACAGAGACACAAGCACAATGTCTGTGATTTTGGATTGAAAAATATCCTGCTATTGAGCAAGACACACAGGAGGATGTGAAAGCTGCTGATATAGTGACTTATTGAGAGCAAAAAACAACAACAATGAAACTGTCAAGAACCACGGTTCTGTTCTGAAGGTTTGCAGCAGATTCAGTCCCTACAGAAATGAGAATGCATGAAAAAGAGGGGAAAATAAATAAAGTGTGAGTGTCTGATTATGTTTTACAATAAAACCCTGAAAGATAGGGGCAGAAAATAATAAGAAATAAATCAGAACTCATAACAATAGATCATAACATTAAACCATTCGAATCATGACAATAGAATGGTGACTGCTGCTTGGGTGTTGTGGCTGATAAATAGGTGGATGCTACACAGTTGAAAGTGTGAAAGAGTGTTTTTTAGCTCGTTACTATGTGGTTGCTGGGGTGTTTAGAGTGTTTTTTAAACATGTGTTTGCTAGGATGGTATCATTCATATCCACAGCATAAATAGTGCAAAGTTACACGCCAAAGTTTAATACCTAAGAGTTAGCAGTTCAAATCTCTATGAGTAATAGTAATAGTGATGCTTGCCTTTGCAATAATATGTGTGTGACAGCGAGTGTGTTCCGGAGGGCTGTTAAGAAGGCGTAGAGAGAGAAAGAGAGTGTCATTAATGATTAATATGTGCAGAATTATTAAAACATTCCCACACAACAAAGCCATTAATGATGAACATTATTTCTACTCTGTAAGTGTGTGTGTGTAGAGGGACTGAGAGGGATCAATCCTCATGAATGCTGCAGTAAACTACTCGTGTTTTCTCTCCTGGAGCACACATCATAAAACGACAAGCTAAACTGAAATGGAAAACTGCATTTCTGTCTCTAAGTGGTATATGACGGTTATAGATTATGTGTGTGTGCTGTGGCACAGAAACATATGTGACTGATTTCACACTAATTACATTACTGTCTGAGGCCAGAGGCATTTGCAGGACCGACATCTCCAACGACCCCTCAGATAAGACAAGAATGCACTAGAAACACACACACACTGGCTCTAAGACACTAGATAAAATGAGTACCCAACTACTACTGTAAACAAAGCAGGCAGGTTGAGCTAAGTATAACAGCAAGACCAAAATATTTGATTTCTCAGCATGGGTGTGCTCCTGTCAATTTGGTCCTTTTCAGTTAACACGGTGCTTTATTGTTCAGCTTTTGTGTCCAGAGAGAACCTATGAAGCTTTTTCAATGAGAACGTAAGAGCAATGTTCTGCTGCATTCATGCCATGTTGGAATTACCATAATTACAAGATGACAACTTGGAGATTCTACTTGGAGCTGTTCTCATCCTCGGGCTCAGATATAATTTGTTTCCATGGCAACGTTCATAATGCCAAAATTGATCCATGTGCAGCTTTGTTGTTGATGACAGCAAAATAATTAAGCACTACTTTAATTCACCATTATAAGAATAAAGAAAGCGTACCAGGTAGCATTGGCTATAATAAAATGGCATATCAAATATGAATATGAATATGTAGTGCTATCTAACTACATTTAACAGCAGAAGCCGCTAGCATTTTTGTCATCACAACCATCAAGTCTGAATTACAACTTGTAATTAAAAGTTCAATGAAGATGTGAATGGTTTCCACCAGTTAGAAGCTCATGCAGTATCTGAAAGCTGTAACCAGCTCTGCTCTGTTATATAATATGTTGAAATAAAAGGCTGTTAGATTGTCCGATGTGTTTGTTCTCTGCAGTGCGGCGCAGGAAGGAATGAATACCGTGTTCGTGGTGGTCTCCTGGGCTTTTCCGCAGGGTTCGTTTAATAATGTTCACCATAAACTCTGCAAGTTTTGCCACAGCTAAAAAACTGACGGCAGTCCAAGAACAACACAGCAGCATCTGGTCCAAGTTAAA